GGGCTACTGCGGCTGATCGAATGTATTCCCATGAAGCTTCGGTAACACTTTCCATTTTGGTACCTGATAAAAAATCGGTTTTCTGTGAAATTTTCAGGCCGCAGTGATGCATACTTTTTATACAGTTTAATGTAGTTTTGACCAATTATCGTAAAAGATCTAATTTGTCGTGTTTTACTATCTGGGATTTTGATAATTATTACATTTTCTTTATCCTAAATGTCCACAGTCTTCATTTTTACCATTTCGTCGCATCGACAGACGCCGGTAACCCCAATTAACAAAACAATCTGAATATTTTTATAATTTAGTAGAGTATACTACATGCTTTGCAATATAATTTTTTTACCTTTAATCCTAAATAGAACTTATCTGGCGCGTCAAACAAAAATTTATCAAACTCGTCTTTAGTGAAAACATTAGACATCTTTGCAGTATATCCTTCGCTTGTTTTTTTTTCAGAAAGGCACGTAACTTTAAAAATTTGCTTATATCCACATTTTTTCTAATAACTAACTCGGATTTTATCATAGAGTATCGTAACCACATTGTAGAAGATTTCCATTTATTTTCATTTTCCATTATATTAAAATATGCCAGTAAAACGTCTTCGGTAACTTGCCGTACACCTCTGGTATCGCACCACTCTTGGAAGTGCTTGTACGCTAACCGATACTTTATTCCGGACTTGGAGGGCCCCAAACGTGCTACTGCATCATTAGCCGCGGACTCAATTTCGTTTTAGGTTTTCCATTTTCGCACTAAATTTGCGCTTGCGGTTGCAACAACAATAATCTGTCTCTACTCTAATAATTGCAAACAACTGTCAAACAACTGTAACCAGGGAGACGTAAATCCCACCGACGACTTAATTATTTTCATTTCTAAAATCTAGATGACTTTGATAGCTGTTGTCACAGTTAATTTCGAGTAAAAATAGCGTATGAATTGTACTATTTATGGTTGAAAATTGCTACGTTTGAAGAAAAAATAGTATACTTTATTCGGCAAAAAAGCAACTTTTCTTGACTTGCCCTCTATTACGCGCCGAACGAAGTGAGGCGCGTAATATCGGGCGCTTCAAGAAAAGTCATGCTTCTCCGCCATATAAAGTAATATACTATTAAGTAGCTTTAAGCAGTACAATTGCCGAACATCAAATTGAATTTCACGAAAAGTTAGTCTGAGGGATATGTTTTTCGTTTTCCATATATTAGTTTAAGAAACCATTTCTGAGTATTTGAAGAGTCACCAGATGGCAATTAACTACTTCACCCCCTCCTGAAATCCTATATACAAGATAAGATTGTACTATATATATATATATATATATATATATATATATATATATATATATATATATACATATATATATGTAAAGCATTTTTAGCTCTTCAACATCGCGGATAAGCTACATTAAGATAAACAGGAATAAAGCGGAGATGCGCTGTCCTGAGTTTTCACATACAATTAGGAAACCATGTTGGGGTTCAATTACCCAGGACCTCCACATGAAGAGCACTTGGCTGATTGTTGTGCCTCTATAGCGACTCAGATTGCTATAGGGGGGAAAGGGATGGTCTAGAGCATTGGAGCACGGTGAGGTGATTCCTGTTTTTTAAACTCGAATTAAAACACCTTGCTCCAATGAATTGTTACACCCGTTCGTACTACCTGGGTGAACATTTCTCATAGGCTGGGTTCAATCAAATTGCTTGCTTGCTCTTCAACGTCCAAAAACTTTAAATAGCGGAATTTTGGTAGCAGTGCTCGTATTTTTCTTATAATATTTTTTATTTATAAGTCCCTTTAAGGTGTCTTCATATTTTTATTATATGGAGCTGAGACTTGAACATTAAAAAAATGCAATTTAAAAAGAATCGAGGTTTGCGAACTCTGGTTATACCGCACAGTATTAAAAATATCATGGACTGATAGAATTACAAATAAAGAAGTACTGGAGAGGGTTCGTAAAGAAATAGAACTAATCACCACTATACAAACCAAAAAACTGGAATACCTAGGCCACGTGATGAAAGATCCAAAATATGAAATTTTAAGACTCATAATACAGGGACCATTCAATGAAAAAGATCTGTTGGCCGAAGGCAGAACTCATGGTTAAAGAATCTACGTGATTGGTATCAATGCAGATCGATTGATTTGTTTAGAGCAGCAAGTTCTAAAATAAAAATAGCCATTATGATTGCCAACCTCCATAGGGAGACGGCACTCTAAAAAGAAGAAGGTGCCCGTCAATTAAAACTCCTAAATAGTTTGTGTACTCTGCTTTAAATATTTGTTGTTTTTTTAATTACTTTTAATGAATTAAAAGTAGACAGAGAATTTTTATATATTACAAAAGGTAAATATATAGTTTTTTGTTATAATTTAATTTGAGTTTGTTTATTTGCAACGCTGTTTTTATAAATTTGAAGTCTTGTTCTGCTATAATTTTAAGATCTTCCCAATTATTGGCCTTATAAAAAATTGCGATACCATCAGCAAAATTAATTATGTTTCCAACAGTTTATAGTTTGAGCATGTCATTAACATAGAGTGTAAAAAGTAGAGGGCTGAAACGGTCCCTTGCGGTACTCCATAATTATTTACTTTAGGATCACTTTTGACACCATCAATTTCTACACATTGTTTTCTGTCAGTTAAGTAACTTTTTAGTAATATCAAAATCTGTACTCTCAGACCATACTTCTCAAGTTTTTTCAATAAGATCTCGTGAGATATCGTGTCAAACGCCTTAGATAGATCGACGAATATGCATAAACTACGTTTACCAGACTCAAAAGCTTCTGATATTTGTGATGTTAGTTTAAAAATAGCATCTTGTTTCAATTTTCTTTTCTAAAACCGTATTGGCAATCCGATATTATACTAAACCTATCCAAGAACCTTACTAATCTATTTTTTAAAATTTTTTCAAATATTTGAGAAAAATAGATAACTGGTCTGTAGTTAATCACGTCTATGTGTTTTAAAGATTGTTTTGTATTTACCACTTCTTTTTTGTCAACGAGATACAAGTACATGCTGCTTTCTATCATGGCCATTACAAATGGGTATTTTTTATGCATACCTTTGCCTAATGTACTGTAATGTGTATTTAATTCATTTGCATTTTCTTTTCTATCAGTTATTGTTTCTCTTGTTTTGGTTTAACCGATTTAATTTTTGTATTTCCTTTTATTTTTTCGCAAATTGAATTAATTACATTCCACAGTAATGAAGAAGAGGTTTTTTTTTCAATTCGTTGCTTTGTATCATTTCTTTTTGTCGTTTTAAACTAAGTCTTAATTTATTTGTCCAATCTGCATATCGTTGTTTTTTTAGTTATCTGAGGAATCTTGAATTAGCTGATCAGACAATCTATGTTTTTCATGTACATACTTTAAAAGTCCCTCTGTCATCCAATCTTTTTTAAAAGCGGTTTTTAGATAATTTTTCTAAATAATTGTATTTCTAAAATGCGTTAGGCTTTTACGGCCATCGTCTAACCTGTTACGCTGTTTGTTCTAGCTGTTAGTCTTCTGAGATTAGTTTTCGACGTTTTGCCAACACTTGGGGTTGGCATCTTCTGATGTTACTGCTTCGCTTCTAACTTCGCTTGGTCACTTTCAGCTTACAAGCGAAGCAGTAACAGTCTTAGTCTTTCTATAGACGCACTATATTTTTTTTTTTATTTCGATTACTTTGAACGAGTACAAGAAACCAATTCGCTAAGGATTTTTGCTTAGTTGCGAAGATATGATGTGGAATGCAAATTTTAGATTCCCTATGTCTCTAATAACATCTTTATCAACGTCTCTTTTGCCTTGCAATTCTTAGAAGGTACAAATTAAAGTAAAAATCTGAATTTGGTTTAGAGAATTAGTTTACGGATCTTAATATCAGATTGTCGCTATTTGCGTCCATTCGAAGCCATTTTAGAGTTGCTTACTAAGACAGAAGAGATTTATTTTCATGTTCAGAGCGACTATGAATTGCCGTTCTGACGTGGCCTAGTAGGCCAAAATGCGTATAACCGGCTACTTAGACGCTATACGTGGAATTAAATCTTAACTGTCTTTTCCTTGTTAATTTGGTTCAAGTTCACTCGTAACTTTTATTGGTTGTAATTCGTTTCGTTATTACACTATTTTATTTTCTAGCCTTCTAATGCGATAAATTATCCTAAGGAACCAATCAGTAATTGGCAGTTTTTGTTTTAAAAATGAAATATGTTGAGTATTTAATATGAAACAGTGCATACAACTTTTTGTTTTCGAAAATTTATAGGGTGGCCACTTTTTTTGCGGGTCAGTATATATATATATATATATATATATATATATATATATATATATATATATATATATATATATATAGTGAAAAGGGGAGATGATGTCAATAATCATTGACGAAAGCTTAGACCTTTAATTAAAAGCACATCGAACGAAGCACCCTAGTTTTATTTTGCTTCCTCAGTTATAAGGGTACTTCCCAGTATTATCTCCTTTTCACTACATAGTACTCGTACCCGTTATCATCCTTTTGGTTATATAATATATATATATATATATATATATATATATATTATAATATATATATATATAACGTATATAATAATCATAATGATACATACTTATAAGATTTCATTTGTGATGATTCCTAAATGTATGCACATCAAATTGGCCAGATTATCGACCTCTGGTGTTTGAATATTCATTTTATCTTGTGATTAATAAAAAAATCTCTCGCCCACTCTAAATTAAATTACCTAATCAATATAAAATTTTCATATATGTTAATATTCCGTTATTTATACGTATAATATGATGTTTATAAAATTGTTTACTTTAAAAGAAATATAATAATAATAATATAAAATGTATAGAAAATTTGTTGATGTATGCTGCCGAAACCCTTAGCATGACAAAAAACATAAGGAAGACCTTAGAATACTAGAAAGGAAAATACTAAGAGCAATATTAGGACCAATAAAAATGAATGAAAACCAATATAGACAAAGAACGAATCATGAACTACTAAACGAAATTAAAGAGGATATAGTTTGTAAAATAAAACGGCAAAGGGCAAAAATGGCTAGGACATATATGGAGATCAGGACCATCTACGACAATATTCTTAATATTGGAATGGACCACCAGCTGGTAAACGAAGACGTGGAAGACCAAGATCTACATGGCTACAAGAAGTAACAAACGATCTCTACAGGGCGGGCGTACGACAATGGAGAGAAAAAACCAGAGATAGGAAACAGTGGAGAAAAATAACAAGAAAAAATTAAATAAAGAAAATAAGGACTGATCTACCTCGTAAAATAGTTCTAGAGAGCTTAAGCGGCGTGTAACCCGTAGGAGTGTTTAGCCACAATATATATATATATATATATATATATATATATATATATATATATTATATATATATATGTGGAGAAATATAGAGAAAATCTTGTTGTTCCATTATTTGTCATGTGTATTAGGATTGATATTAGGAATATAGTTTTAAATTGTGTAAATTATTGATTAGAACAAACATTCAATAAGAAAAACTTTATTAATAAAAATTAGTTTTGTAAAAATATAAAATTGAGAATACGTTAAGGAAGAGAATTATAAATAAAATATTTACAGCGTTGAGACACTGCTAAAATCTAAGAGTGTAGATTTTTTTCGAATCCTGAGTAAACTTATAAGTATTTTTGAAAAATTTAAACGCAGAATGAAAGATTATATTATTACCGAAGATAGAAAGTCCCTAAAATTTTTTAAAATGTTTATATTAGTAAGTTACAGGGGTGAAAAAAAAAGAAAATTAAGTGTAATTTTTAATTTCAAATATCTCATTCAAAAGAAACTTTTGGTTTATTCTCAGACTTTTTTAGAGATATTTATTAGTTTTCTAGCCTTACACCTAACGGTAGAAAGGCTTAGGACCAAGTAAGTAAGTAAGTATTAGTTTTCCTCAGATTCGAAAACAATTGAATGCATTTAAAAATTATTGGTGCGAAAATTTGCGCCTATGCTCTTAAACAACATATTTGAAATAAATAAATGGATAAAGGGATTTAAAAAGTTGAATAATAGCTACTAAAAACCGACAGGTATTAATTCTCTCAGTGGTTGACATGGAATTGGCAGTTTCTTGGATTTACCAAATAAAATAAAAAATGATAAACATACTTAAACAAGGAGATAAAAGTTTTCTAATAAAAAAAGTATAACAAATAACCTAACTAAGATTAAATTAAAAAATAATTAGGCAAAGGAAACAAGTCAAGTTTCAACAAATATGAGAAACTCAGTATACTACCTTTTAGATTGCTTCGTGTCCATGTATCCATACAAAGGGAATGGGACATATATGTAAAAATTAATGTTGAATGGTGGGGTAAATAAATCCCATCAGCAAAGAAACAAACTTATATTGAAAAAAAAACACATACATTACACAAAAAAAACATTACTTCTTAAGAATAAAGTGGTAAAAAACAAATTTTGCATAGAGGCATATTGCACGCTATACAAATAGTCGTAGTCTGAGTTTTTAATTTATTTTTTAAACGTTCAAAGCACCTTCTCCTAGTAGGTATTTGTTGTGGCAAATGGTCACTAACGTTGATAATCAGTTTCTGTTGTTTAGATATTCTTCCAGAACGATCATTTATTCGTCTTTTTTTATTTGATTTCGATAATTTTCTTTCAGTTAGCTGTTCTGCTAGTGGCTCCAGAAAACTTAAAAATGAAAAATTTTGTATCATCTGGTTGTATAGTTCTTTTATGTAGATCCTTGTAATAATCCAAGAATTTACAATAGCGCACATAACTAATCTATAAAAGACTTTTTTAGAATTTCGGTCCATATCATATGTACTAACGTTTTGGTCATTGGGATGTACATCTTCTATTAAATTATTGCAAAAAATAATTTCCTCTGGACGAGTAAACACAGTTTTTCTTCAGTTTTCAGCTTTCTGTTAATAATTATCATAGCTGTACTGTGACAATTGGACATCAGCATCACTTCTTTCGTATATTTCCATTTAGTCGCTAAAATTCCTTCAGATAAAACTAAAAACCTCATATCACCCCATAAAATTTTGTTATTTTCAAATTTGGCTACGTTTAACCCGATTGGCCATATAGATTTCCCAACATGGAAAATTTAGGGTGTTTAGTAGGTTCAACAAAGTGAAAAATCTATCAAAGCATAGACAACATCTGGTGACTGTCTGGTGTTGGCTAGAGTTTCAACATTTCATTCTCCTAGAGTTCCAGTAGTTGGCGTGAATTTTTTTCCCAAGTAAACATTGAAATCGTCTATATATCCAGTAAAAGAATCACTTCGATGCCACATTTTTGAAGTTATACTTCTATACACATGGTCGGCGTTAGAAAATTTGCATGGGAGTGAATCTGTGAAACCATTACATATGTAAGATAATAAGTAAGAGATAGACAGAAAATATATTTTCTCTCTCTTCTTCTCTCGAGAATAAAACTGTTTATATATATATATATATATATATATATATATATATATATATAATATTAAATATATATATATATATATATATATATATATATATATATATATATATATATATAATATAATGTGTATTAATATTATTATTTATGTGATATGTTTTGTATTATTTATTTAACGTTTATAATTATTTTAGGCTTTTGTATTTCAAAATAATCACTGTTTGACCGAGAACTGTCAATTTTAAAATCCATTAGTGTCATGTCTAATTGGCAAATCCTTTACGTGTTTGGTCGATATGTTGGTGTTTGTGAGTTCGAATCCCAATATGAATTTCCTTTGTTATTTTTGAAATATTTAAAAACCTCACGTTAATCTTATTAAATATATTATACGCAAAAATGCTAAATTTTAAAATAAAATGAAAATTAACCATATAATCCGAGTTGTTGGTTTTTTATTTTTATCTTCGTAAAGTAAGTTATGCATATTGGCAGTTTTAAATACTTATGAATATTGCATTTTAATTTATATCGTATTATTATATTGAATTATGTTGCAGTGTATTTATTGTATTGTAATTTTTATATTAATATCCAAATAAACAATGAATTTTACTGCAGACTATATGTAAAAAAATTATTTTGCATTCAACTCCTTTTATACATATATGAAAATAAAAATATATATTTTCATTAAAATATTGATACAATCCTTCATTTACTATACTCCTATTACAGGTCAAGTGTTTATATACAGCAAACAATGCACCATATACCTATATAACTAATTCTTTTTCTCTTTCTGCTCTCTCTTACCTATAGCATTACATATGTAATGATTGTGCAGATTGACTCCCATATAAATTAGTAACGGCGAACGAGTGTATAGAGGTATAACTTCTACCGACAATCCCACTGGACTGCCACACCCGTTTTATACTTTTTTTAGTGGCTTCATAGAAAGATACTGCTTTAGGGCAGATCTTCCTTTGAACTTTTATTCATTGATTCGTCAATGGACTGATGGGAACTTTTAGTCCGCACTTTTACAAAAGTTTGTTTCAAACAAGAAACCACTTCATGAATGTATTCAAAAGTAATTAGTTTTGTGACTAGTAGTGTGAGATAGATGGTACTTTATTATAACACATAACCGCTGTACAACCAATTACTGTCATCATTTCGTACATATCTGTTTTTTTTTGGTGTTTAATTTTATATTTTTGTTTTTGGAAGTACTGCTATTCTTTAGTTTATACAGGAAGCAATAAGCATTAATAAACCGCACAGAGATAATTTTAGAAGAAAATCAACAGGACGAGAACCTTTCAGACACATCTTTAGATATTTTCGCGTTATCAGAACTTTCTTACTAGCTAATGAGTAAGAAATGTCTAAAAATACGGACGTGTTTAAATAACATGGGCTTTGGGTACAAACAGATGCCAGCAGATTTTATAAAATCCGCTGGGACATATATATCCCCACAGTATTGAAATCGTTAAAACAAGTTTAAATTAACTGTACTTCTTAAATATCAGTGTATCTAATATAATTTGTATGATTTCAGTTTATATTGCTTCAAACACTTTTATATGTATTATGGATTGAGGCATCTCCTCTTTTACCACAAAACAAAGACAGCATTGTCCTGGACTATTCAAACTACAATACCTTTCAACCTAATGGTCAAGGTACTTACTCTTTTGGATACGAAATAGAAGATCCAGATACACAAAATATTCAGTTCAGAGATGAAGAAAGGAAAGCAGATGGTACAATAATTGGAAGCTATGGTTGGGTAAAACCTGATGGAAATATTATCATGGTTAGGTACATCGCAGATCAAAAGGGATTCAGGTAAATCAAATTTTGTATTAGCCTGGTTAAAAATTATACCCGAGTAGATATTAAATAAAAACGGTGATAGAATCCATCCCTCTCTGATAGCTCTTTAAATGTAACATTCGTCGGTTAATCTACCACCGACTCGTACAACTGTTTTCTCCTTCAAATATAAGTTTTCCATGATTCGCAGGTCTCTACCATCATTATTCTTGGTTCTTGATGTGTTCAAAAACATCATCATCATCATTTTGGCTTTACAACCCTGTGTGGGTTCCTAGCCTCCCCAATAATTCTCTTCCAGTCGTCCCTATCCATGTTCCTCCGCCAAGCACGTATTTCCATATTTCTCATATCTTGGTCTATGTTATCTAGGAATCTTGTGCTGGGTCTTCCTCTTCTTCTTTAACCAATAGGTCTATCAAGGAGCGTTTTTTTAGCTGGGTCGGTTTGCTCCATTCGCATTATATGGCCTAACCACCTCAGACGTCCTATCTTAATGTGTTTTATGATATCTGGTTCCTGGTATATTCTATAGAGTTCCAAGTTGTATATAGATTCGCCTCAGTATTTTTCTTTCGAAACATCCTAACATGATTTCATTGCTTTTTGTTCAGGTTTCTGAACCATATGTTAGGACTGGGCGTATTATTGTTTTGTAGAGTTTTACTTTTGTATTTCTTGATATAACTGTAGATTTAAAAAGGAGATTAAGGCCAAAATAGCATCTATTAGCCGTGCCAATTCTGCGGTTTATCTCTTCGGTAGTGTCATTTTCAGTACTGACGAGCGTTCCCAGGTATACAAATTCATTAACTCCTTCGATGACGTCGTTTTCTATAACAAGTGGCCGTCGTATTTGTGGTTGCGGACCTATTTTCATGTATTTCGTTTTATTATTGTTTATTATTAAACCCATTTTTTAGCCGCTTCCTTTAGTGCTACATACGCCTCTCGTGCTGCGTTTTCCGTTCTCCCAACAATATTGATATCATCGGCATATGCTAGGATTTGCACAGATTTGATATATATTGAACCAATAGTTGTGATTTGTGACATACGTATTACTTTTTCCAGAGCTAGATTAAATAGTATACAGGAGAGTGGGTCTTCCTGACGTAGACCGTTATTTGTATTAAAAGGTTCAGAGAGATCCCCCTGGATTCGTACTCTGCATTCAACTTTTTCAACGGTTAGTTTGGTTAGACTTACCAACTGATTTGGTACTCCCAGGTCTATCATTGCTCCAAACAATTCTATACAGAGTTGTAGGCTGCCTTGTAGTCTATAAATATGTGGTGCGTGTCTACACCGTATTCCAGCATTTTCTCTAGAATTTGTCTTAGGGTTGAAATCTGATGAATTGGTTCAAAAACATTTCATGGTGTAATTCAAGGCTTGTTCGTATTCGATGAAAGCCACATAAATATCTTAACGTTAGTAGCGGCAATTTGGAGTACCTACATTTCATCCAAAAAGTGTATCACGGATACCAAACGCATTTCTAAGTCCAAATTGGGTTTCATCTAGGTCTCTGTTACAATAACGTCTTATTCATCAATTTTTCTATTCATTTATGAATAATGCGATGAAAAATGTTCAATGTGTGGCTTATCAGACTGATTATTCTGGATTTAAAAACGGAATTAAACCGTGCCTCAGGTGTTTCACCCGTAATATACAGGACATTAAAAAGCTTAACGAGAGCACTGATGTATTCCTCTTGTATCATTGTTAAAAGTTCAGCTGGGATGTTGTCTGGTCCAATTGATTTCTTACATGAATAACTTCAGATTTTAAAATTTTATATTTTTCTTGAATAATATTGCTCTGTATGTTTGGCCTTTAATCTTGGAACAGTTCAGTTATATAGTTACTCTATGTTTCAAGTATCTTTTGTTCACCAATAATAACTTTTTCTGCAGTATATACTAGAACATTAGTTTTTTTCTTATTATATAGACCACCAGCTTAACAATCTTTCATGTCCATCTTAAAGGTATTATGTTTGTTTTCTAATTGTTCCATTTCTAAACTAAAAGTAAGTTTACTCTGGTACCTGAGCATGCTGGTATTAAAGGGAAGAAAAATGATGACCTACTTGCTGGAAGAGTGACAAAAGAAACAGTCATGGCTCAGAACCTGTCGTTAAGAATAGCAAAAAGCACACCCAAAAGAACGATATCAGACTACGTAGAGCAGATAAAACATAGTACTGGTAAAAAGAGATAGATCCTAAACATTCGAATGCTTCTATAAATAAACCTTGTAAGAAGAGATCCAATGATGTACTAAATTTTAATAGGAATGATCTACGAACTATTGTAGATTTCGATTCTCATATGAGTATCATCGGACTGAGAGAAAGTGCAGATTTCAGATTTTGTCAGGTCAAGACGAGACAGCGGAACAGTTTCTGTGCAACTGCCCGAGGTTGGATAGTATAAGGCTGAATACATTTTGTTTATGATGATATTTAGACTAAGTTGAAAATCATATTTTACAGACAGAATGTCAGAGCATTTTTAGTAATAGTAGTCAATATGCTAATACTTCTTTTAATGATACCTATTAAGATATGATTTAAATAAATTTAACATAGTATTACACGCGTTAAGCTATTAGCTACCTTCTTCAATATTTAGTTTTAGTCCACTACAAAAATTTTTATATAATAACTTAATTAACTACCTCATTTTGATCTAGCACTTCTTTTTAAACTAATCTTAGATGTTTCATAATCGCTATTACTTATTTTAAGGGCAAGCGTCGAGGGATCTGAAGGTGAATCTACACGTTATGGTGAAGTAGAACCAAACGATCTTGACTTTTCAAAAGAAAATCCTGTTTTGGAGCATGCTATAGAATCTCTAAAATATATGAATCGTCCAAGTATTCACGAGAAACACTTAAGACCAATAGACCAGAAATTTAGCTTTCAGGAAATTGACACTCACAATGGCGAGGATTCACATGACGGAGAGGTCTTACTACGGAAAGGATATATAGAAGATTATATTGAGCCTAAAAGAACATTCCTTTTCTATTAACACGTAATATTTAATACGACATTGTTGTAATTAGTTTCAAATTATACTAGTTGTATATAATATGTTAAAGATTTAAACTCTGCTTTTAATTTATTTTGTGCCTTTATATAATTTTTTTTAATTAAATTATTTAAAACACTTCAATTTTTTTGTTTATATAGACATAATTCACTCATTTTAGAAAAATATAAGGAAAATAATAAATGCTGCCCACTTTATACAAATATATGCTGCAAAATACAGTACCTATGGTTTTCTATAAGAATGATACAGCAATAATAGCTGGATTAGGTTATAATCCGGTTAATTTAAATATAAAAATAGTGATCAAATAGTTCCCACGCACTTTCCGAGTTCAACAATTCTGAATGATGCAGATAGGCAAACCAACATAGACCAAACGGTGACTAGCCGAAGGTCTACCGATTGGAAAATAGCCACAGCAATCACAAAACGTAACAGAATTAGATGGGCTATAAATAAGTTTCGGCTATATGTCTCCAAGGACAGATGGCATATAACCAATACTGTTGCATATGGGAATAGTGGTTTTAATACTACACCTATGCAAGCTTCTCAAAGCCAGTTTAGCATGGGGGATCGTACCGGAAAGATGGCAAAAGGTTAAAGTCATATACTTGCCTAAAGTGGGTAAAGTATTAGACCTAAATACCAAAGTCATAGACCGATAAGCTTATCTTATTTTCTATTAAAAACGCAGCAAAGGCTTTTTGATGGGTACATTAGAGGCAAAGTGCTAAAAGATAATCCTCTAAGCAATCGTCAATATGCATACCAACCTGGTAAATCAGCGTTGGATGATCTAAATAGGCTTATTCTATAGTCAATGGAAGACAAAGGAAAAGCATGGCCGCTTTTTTAGATATAGAAGGTGCATTTAATAATGTTACTATCAGTTCTTTAATAAGAGATATGAGTAGACGAGGCACACCTGCGGTAATATAAGGGCATCCCTAGAGAATACTCTGGGTAAAGCAACTGTCGTTGCAAAAGTAAGTGGAGGCTGTCTACAGAGAGGAGTTCTGTCGGATCTACTTTGAACAACCTTGGTAGATGGTCTCTTAAGAAATTTGTCCACAGGCTTTTATATTTAGGATGGGCTGACGATAAAGCAATCGTTGTCAGGGGCAGGTTTGCTCAGGTGGTGTCTAAGAGAATGCAAGCAGCCCTAAATATAGTTGACGACTGGTTTAAATAACAGAGATTGATGTTAATGTACAAAGAAAACACATATTGTCAACTTCACCAAAAAAAAGAAACACCATTACAAGACCTTAAACCACCGGTGGTGGGAGGAGCAAAGATGTCATTTGCCAAAGAAACAAAATACCTTTGAGAATATTTTGATCATAGGCTTACATATAATACTCAAGGGTTATTAAACCTACGATAACCTATGGTCCGGTGACGTGCTAGACAAAAACGTGGCAAGTGGGAGCAATAAGGCTGCTAGGTAATACACAAAGGCAAGCATTGTCTGTGTATTACGGGGGCCAATAAAAACAACTCCTACTGCATCGTTGAAAGTCATGCTGAATCTACCACCCCTTCATATCTTTATACTGGGTGAAACCAGATCAGTGATGCACAGATTAATCAATAGTCAGCGATATTGTGATAAGACAACCTATCGATGCAACAGCTACGAGATATAGCTTTAACAATAAGTTCACAATTAAGATACCAGGTAGTGAAGACTGGAATAAAGGTGTACCCATACAATCTGCTGCTACCTGGTACACAGATGGCACAAAAACATCGGAGGGTCTGGAAGCTAGCGTATCAGGGACAAATCAAGGGATACATTTCCCGCTAAGTCTATCTAAGGATGTGACAGTTTTCCAGGTGGAAATAACTGCAATCCGTCACTGCGTGAATAAAATGAAAAGGCAGGAAAGAACGTTCTGTTCAGTTGCCATCTTCACAGATAGTCAGGCAGCGCTTCACTCACTCAATTCTGTAGAAGTCAATTCTAGGCTAGTATGGGATTGTGGTGTGCCCTAAATAAACCAGGAGACCGTAGCAAGGTTACGGTAGCCTGGATACTAGGGCACGAAGGTCATAAAGGCAATAAACAACAAGCAGATCAAATGGCCAAACAAGGCTCATCAATGCCATTTATTGGACCGGAACCCTTCTGCAACGTTGCAAAGTCAGTAACAAGAACGGCTACAAGAAAGTACATAGCTCACAAATCTTTGAAATGGTGGAGAAATTCACCAGGACAAAGAGAGGCGAAACAGTTCATTACAGAACATTCGCCAAAATTTACGGCAGATCTAATAAGCAAAGACAGGAAAACAGTCAAAGCCTATTAGGGCACTGTAAGCTGAATAGGCAGTTAAAGCTAATGGGATTATCAGATGATGACCTGTGCAGATTCTATCATCACCTTGAAGAAGAAACAGCAGAGTACATTATGTGCGGTTCTTTGCATTAGAAGAAAAACAGTCCACCAGTAAATAGTTACATGATAAGCCAAAAGGCCACCTCTATAAATCTATTTATCTATCTAACAAAAATTCCCGGAAAGTCAAGTATTGGTAGAGAGCTGGGGTTTACCATTACATATACAGTGTGTCAATTTTAAAACTATATAAGTCATAAATGTCAACAATCTGTAGAAATACGGAAAGTCATTGTTTATCCTATTAAGCTTTTTTATTGCTTTATAGTATTGTGAATTAGTTTTATTTAAATATTGTGAAATACCTTTCTGTGACTGAAACGGGCTTTAATAAAAGTACGTTAAAAAGTAAAAGTAAGTTAAGTAAGTTTTCAAATTATATTTATCAGCTATGCCAGATTTAAGTTTGTCGTTTATGTTCTTACTAATCAAATAAAGAAACAACAAAACAGTACATGACGCATATGATTACCAGACCAGTATTCTTTGCTTTTTTTTTATTGTATTGTGTTTATATCGACGGTTTATAATTCTCTGGCTCCTGTGAATAAGCACATAAGTCAATTTTGCCCAGAATAACGTGCCCACTGCAGATCTTTCCAAAGAAACTTTTCGCCCCTCTCAGTTACTTTTTTTCGTATCAAATCAGTTTTAAATAATGCTGCAAAATTATGAAAATCGTTGGATTCCATTACTTTTACTATAAAAGAATTCTTTTGTTTACAGATTCTTATAAGCTGTACCCAATCATACAAATGGATAATTTTCATTGTAGTTTTCTTCTTCTCCTTTTCAATAACAGAATGATCTGCATCACATTCCATATGTGTATGACCACTTACAAAAAACTTGTGTTCAATATACTCTATTGTACTTTTGTTTTTCAAAACGCTCATAAACATTGCTGATACGTGCCTGTTTTTATTCTGGCTCTGGCATGTATCCGAATATAAACATACTCTTTTTATGGTTGATGGAAGATCCATAAGATGTCGGTACAAACATGAGGCAATTTAATTTCCTCCTCTGGCTGAAACAGACTCGTTCCAAATATAGCAAGTAGCTATACCAGTAACTAAATGGTGTACAGTTAGATTGTAGGTCCAGAGTTGCCGTTTGTAAAATGAAATGGATGTTTTTAAATACGGAGTTGGCAAACATTGTTGAAAATCAAAAGCAAATACTGCAGTTGTTGGATCATTTATGGCTAAAGTTTTATCACTTGACTTTGCGTTATACGCTTCTTGGGCTGCTACGTGATGCTTTTTCTGCTCTAAGATTATGTTTTCCTTTTCAGTTTCTTCTGCATATGATATTTTAATTGCTAAAACTATCGCATTTAGAACACGTATCTTTTTGGGGCTTTTTAAATTTGAGCCCTAGTTCATGGAATTTTGCAGAGTGGATTGTCATTGAAACACAATTTTTTATTTCAGTGTTCTCTTTACAAAGGCGATACATTTTGGCGATAGTCAAATCAGATTGTAAGTATAATTTAGATGTTGTTTGTCTACAATAATGACTCTCGTATGCAGGAAAGCTTCGGATATGTGCAACAACTTAATTTAAAACTTGTTCTGACCATTTATTTTTCTGTGAATTCAGACCTCTTTGATCGTCTATAATTATCGAAGACACCGACGAGTGTCTGTTTACTATAATTTGGTTTATGAAGGTATTTGTTTCACCAAACGTAGCAATTAAACAATTCTTGCATATTTTTTCTCGCTTCCTCATTAACAGAAACTTCATATTTACAAGAAAATTTTCGTACTCTGTCAGAATTATTTCGTACTCGAACAGTTTTTTTATCCACTATGCAAATTAAAGAGGATATAAAATTTGCTCTTCTATTACGGTCTCCAAGTTGCCAGTATTCATTAAAAAGTGAACGTCTTAACGGGTTCATTGTTCTTGCTGCTATTGTTTTTTCCCTTTTCTGTTATATATGACTTGCCTGTATTTCGTAATACTTTAGCTAGTTTTCTCTAGGAGTAGGAACGTCTATATTCTTTTCTTTCGAACTGCTGTTGTTTCGTCATCACTTTCTACGCTGCTATTTAAATCTGAATGGCAGGTGAAGTTCGGATCATCTATACTGTTATCACTAAGATTTAATTCGGTTTCATTTTCGACTCTATTTTCAAAACTGTTATTAACTGTCGTTTGTGATTTTTCGCCCGTATCTGTTACAGGGTTTGTCAAGTCTTTAGTATTTTCTAAAAAATAATCTTCCAGCATGCACCGTGATTGATACGAAATATCATTATTTTGTATTGGTTGTGCAGCAGAATAATGAGTTATATTGCCATTATTCTGTACGTCCGACCAATTTTCCATTACGTGGAATTGAGTATTTTCTGGCAAAATTTCTCTACTTAATTCATTCTGATTAAACTGAAAATCTACATTTAAATCATGCTCTAAATCATGCACTACCTGAATATTTTGTAGATCCTTTTGACACGGAACATTCTCTTTCTGGCTACATCCAATCTGGACTAGGCTATGCTTTTCAATCCATGAGTAGGTTCTGGACAAAGGTGTTTCCTCTATATCTGAAGAACTCGGTAGAGGTATACATTGGTTTTTATCATTATCAATATTTCCTAAAAAGAAACGTTATGAGAATTTTTAAATAAACTTTTTAAAAAATTTTTACACAAAATGACAAGATTTCAAATGACAAAATAAAAAATTTCGGCTTAAAAAACTAACAAAGATGAATAATATTTTAGCATTTTCTGAAATGTTCTAATTGCAAATATCCAAAAATATTAATAGTATCAGTGTTACTTACCAAATTGATTGTTTTGATTATTACACAGGCTCAAAATAAATGCTGTTCTATTGTTCATTGTTCCAATAATTATAAAAACAAACTGATTTAGGTATTTACGAAGTAACTTAATATAATTATTCCAACTGTTATAGATAGACATAATTAAACAAAATCCACAAGGAAACAATTCCTGTTCAATAAACTAAACCGTTTAAATTTCAAAGATACTAAGTTCCATATTTTTATGGCTTACGGCGTCATAAACATCTAAGAGGTAGTGACGATGCCTGGCATGAGAAAGAATGACAAAGAATAACATTTACATTTTAGAACATGGATAAAATGCCTACCATAGAAGTTTCAAGTGAACCCAGTCCGATAAATCGCGTAGTGAATAAGCAAATAACTGTACTTATCGGCTTGTTTCCAATTCGCAAAAATTTATTGAAACCATATAACACTAGTTATTCTGTTACGTTTTGTAATTTTCGAGATGTTTGAATATTCACATGCTCATAATTCTCTAAATTTAAAAATATTGGACTTATTTGTTTACGCATAGGCTGGGGAATTACATTTTAACGTTAAGTACATAATATCCCAGTTTTGATAATTTTTTGACTTATGTGCTTATTCACAGGGGCCAGAGAATAATTAATAAAATCCAACTTTAATAATAAAATATTTAATCAGGGCTGTGAATAACAATATCTAAAGACAACGGTTTACTTCCATTTTCTGACATAACACGTACATGGTAGTAGGTAAGGACTAAACATGTTCCATTTCTACAAAGATCAGCCGCAGTGTCACCAAGAGTTAGCAGTGGGCCATAATACTTCTGTCTAATCTTGTTCGAAAGAGTGGATGCTGCAACTGTATAACTTAAACTTGTATATACGTTCGATGCTAACCAAATCAAAATTTTTTCATTGTGTCGTAGACTAAAATAAAATGGTATTCATGAGAGAATATAACATAAACATTGTATCTAAAAAAGTTACGCTGTTAGTTCCCACTACGCAATGTTTATTAGTAATGGACCGCAGGAATGTGACGTCACGACTGTCACATTGTCATTATTACTTTCCAAACAAAAGTTGAAATGTTAAATCTCAAGACTTTTTAATATCTATAAAGTTAACATTTTACTTCCTCTGCTGCTTTTTCTTGTAAGCATAGTATTTTTTACGATAATTCTGAGTTCTATTTCTATGAAATATAGTTTAAAAAGTTTAAATTAAAGAAATACTAACTTTACTTTATTGATACATTCATTTTATAGCTATTAGCATAAAACAATGTGCTTTATTATTTACACAACCTTGTAAAATTGTTGTAGCAACTATTAGAATACTTAAATATTGCAAAAAGCGGAAAGATTCTATAAAATAAATGAAAAAATATCTAAAAATACAAATTCTCCACACTAAAAAAGGTTTGTTTGGAAAGTGAAAGTGACAGATGTCAATAAATCTACGTCATCACTCCTGTGGTCCATTGGCAGGTAGTGATGCCTTTTACCAAACGAATTAAATTATTGGTCTAAGTAAACATTTGTGAAGGAGAATTTAAGCGTACTAGACGGTGGTTTCTTAAAAAATTCTTTGTACAATATAAAGTGCTAAATATAATAATGTTTAACAAAGTAACTAATGTAAATACTTAATTTTTACTGAAGCAACATAGGCATGGGCAGTTCAGACCACATAATAATCCAAGAAATCCGACAAAGATTAGGCGTTTAAGACGTCATCAAAATAATCACTACGCTTAAGAGTACTATTGCACAAGAGGAAAAAGTCTTCAGTTACGTAATGAAGAAACTACAAGAAAAATATACCAAGGCTGGCCTAGATATTAACCTCGCGAAAACAGAGTACCGATCTACAAGTAAATTCAAATACTTAGGGTTTTTAATCACGAAAAAGGCAACAACAAATGAAGAAATTGGCAAAGATTAGGACAAACAAGAACAGCAATCCGACAACTTAACTCTCTATAGTGGGATAAACACCTAAATATAAAGACAAAAACACAGATAAAACATTAGAGCGAAGTATTATGACATATGCGGCTAAAAATTGGATTATAAATGAGAAAAACAGCAGTTAGATAGGAGCAACAAAGATGGAATACTTGCAAAGATGCTGCAGAGAAACAAGAATGGAAAGGAGAAGTAATGACTGACTAAAGCAAAGAACATCAATAGAAACAGACATACTACCATGTATAAAATAAAAAAGACTTAAATGGTATGGGAATATAAGGAGAACCAGCGACAGCAGATGAATATAGAAAATACTGAATGAAGCCCTATAGGAAGGAGGAAAAGAGGACAACTCCGTTTAGGCCTTTCTTACTAATGGCGTCGTCTACTTCGTACAGTAGGCATTAGAACTGTATGTTTTTAGGAATGCAAAGTTTAGATCCAAACAATTTATTTATACCTGACTTTCATGGCACTTCGATTCCAACAATGTATTCAAGATTATAGATCTAAGGTTTTATTTCAGCATTGACCAATAAATACATCTAAGCCTCTATAAAAAAGGTGACTTTTTTACTTATCATCATCACCAGCAGAATCTCAATAGTCAAAATGTAGTGACACATAATTTATTGATTTTAATAATTAACTATAATCCGTTCACAAATTGTTAAGATCACGAAATGTGCCTCAAAGTCATAAAACGGTCGTAAAATTTGTATCATTATAGGCGTTCCTGAGGAGTTTATTCATTAAAAATTAATGCGTTTTACATTCATTTTCCTTTCCAAAATGTTTATCAATACTAATAATGTTTTAATAATAATATATTAAGCAAAAAACAATTAAAACTTTCACGGCTAATGTTGGTTATTATATTACCTATATTAATAAAAATAAGAATTTAACCATTAACAATTTTGTAAATAAGAATACTTTATCTCTTTGGATATTTCAATACTAATCTTCGCGTTTAATTACTTTACTAGAAAACCTGGAATTCATATCCGAAGGTACTATTCGTTGCAAGGTAATTAGGATAGAATTCCCCAGATTTTTAATAATATAATGGCTATAAAGATGCCGGCTTTGGCCACGTGCCTCGTTTGTTCAGTTAATATTCGAAACTTAACTTAAAAGGGTGAAGTTATTACGAAAGAAAACAATTTTTTTGTTTAGTACGTTCTTGATCGCATGTAATTTACGGCTCGTCGTGTTTCCGCATCTACGGCAGTACTTAGCGTCTCGAATATTTCTTTTGCCAATTATATGCAGTGCGTGGGTGATTTTTTATTCCATATACCTACGAACATATACGTACCTTTCGCTCGTGCTCGTTTTGTTGGATTGTTTCTGATGGCTTCCTCATCAACATCATCCAGTTTTACACCGGTACTGTTGCGTACAGTCAGTAAGTCTGTCTATTCACCAAGAGAGAGACTATTGTCCTGAATGTTCACGATGCTCTGGTTTCTCAGAATCCCACAAACACTGTTCGCAACATAGTCGAAAGTTGTGCCAACATGACTGGCGTAGTGGAGTCAACTAATATATAGGTTCCTATCAGAAAGAAAAAACACGGTATAGCTAACCCAAACACAAACGAACACTTAAAGTGAGGAAAAAGCCTATTGAAATTAATGAATTTGCCAAAAATAGTATTCGAAGGAAAATTCATGGATTTTTTTTTAAAGAAATACCAAACCTAAACAAAATTCTATAAGAAGTTAGAGACGACCCGGATTTGCCCTATATCGGACGAACTAAATTGTGGCAAGTTTTAAAAGAATTAAATTTCCGGTGGGAGAAATCAGACCGAAAATCACTTTTGATTAACCGGGAGAAGATAATATGTTGGAGAAGAAATTATCTAAGATCCATACGAAAATTCCGGGCTGAAGGAAGGCCAATCTTCTACCAGAATGAAACGTGAGTAAACTCGATAAACTATCTCCTCGTGGATAAACTATCACGAGGAGATGACAGCTGATGTTTTCGAAGAGCATATGATTGAACACATACCACCAAATTCAATTATGGTATTAAATAATGCACCTTATCTACATTAGAACAGGATATTCTTGACTGGACTGCGGAATAAGTATCTGCCTTACGAAGATGGAATGGTAAAAGAAGAACTTTTAAAAATTGCCCGGCAACACAAACCTTAGTTCAAGAAATATGTAGTTAACAAAATGGCGGAAAGGCGAAACATCACAGTCCTTAGACTTTCACCCTACTACTGCGAAATAAATCCAATTGAACCCATTTGGGCACAAATGAAAAGTTATGTGGCTAGAAAAAATACTTCATATAAAATACAAGCTGTACGTGAATTGCTATACGAGTCTTTACAACATACTACATAACAAAACTGGAAAGATGCAGTAAGACATGTAATAGAAGAAGATCAAAAAATGTGGGATCTTGATAACATAACTGATGCAACAGTAGAGACACAACCGCTCATTATTATTCCCCAAAACGACCGACGAAGTTGATCCTATTTATTTTAAATTTGAATAGTTTTCCAATCCTAATTATATAAGGTAAGTAATAGTATTTTAGTCGTAAGGTATTAAAGGGAAAACCAGCAAAATGTCGCCTGTCAAAATGTTCAATGTGTTTTAAATGTATCCATTTTTTTTAAATCCTGCGAAAACTAAAAAGCATTTTTTAAAAATTTAAAGGAAGAATGAAATATTTATTAGAATACATAAAAAGTTTCTTTTGCATGTAATATTTTCAATTAAAAATTATACTATATTTTCTCTTTTATTTTCACCCCTCTTACATAACATATTAAAATAAACATTGTAGAAGTTTTTGGGGACTTTCTGCCCACAGTAATAATGTAATCTTTCATTCTTCTTTTAAATTTTTCAAAAATATTTATTAGTTTATCTCCGGATTCGAAAATAATAGATCCATTTAAAACACATTAAAAATTTTGCCAAGCGACATTTGGCGCCTTTTCCCTTAATTAAATAAATGTATCTTTTACAAATGGAAAAAAACTTTTTATTTTGAAATAAAATAAAAAAGTTTTATTAAAATAAAAATACAATTTATATAAGTACAATTTAAAAAATATATTTATTTAGTTCAAATAAATGTTTCAATCATATACTCTACGACACTGGTCGGTCATCTGTAACCAAAATACCTTCGAAATCGGATTGTAAGGTTGACTGCTGTATTGTATTCCTTCGGATACGAGGTGGATTAGACGAAAACATCTTAAACCGTCAGTTTCATGTTGGTTTTTACTATTATATCGTATTACCTATTCTCTCTGTATTTCAGTTATCTAATTAGGGTTAAACCTGTAGTGAGCTATCGACAAATTGTGAACCGATTATATATTCTCACTCAATAGATAATAAATATTTGTTAACTAACAAATTTGTCTATTACTTAGGTACTTTAATATTACCATAATCTTCTCTTTTCACAAAATATTTTTTCTCGAATGACATTATCTTGCTTTCCAAAACTATTTTGCAATAAAATTAACAGCTCATTTTTGAAGATTTTAAAGAAATCCGCAATTAGTTAAAGAATTCAGTTAGATCTTTTTCTAAATATGAGATCAAAATATAAAATAAAATGATAAAAGTGGAAGCACCCATAATACATTTACATACACTTGTCGCTAATGATATTTTACTGAGATTCACGTTTAAGCTGATGTGGTTCTAATCGGTGTTAGAACCGAAATTTCGTTTTTAGCGGCTAACGAGGCGCTGGTGGCAAACATCGGTGTCGGACACCAATCGCTTCGTCTAAAAATATACTTACTCTAAGACTAAAAATCTGAGAAATTACCCTAATTCATGACCATCTTCGACGAAAGTAACCGATGAATCCGACTCTATATTGCCAACGTCCGAAGTTGATAGTAGATCGTCTTCAGATTCATTTAAATCATCAGTTGAAATTTTTATAGCTTGCAATACCATAAGTGGTCCTGAATCTAAACTTTGTATCGTTGTGGAACTGGTATGACTAAAAATATGGGAAATATAGTTACTATTCGATTAAAAAAAATGGAGAAAAAAATAATAAAAAGTGCATTTAAATATTTCTGATTTACGAAAAATCATAATAAAATATGAAACATGTAAGCTAGTTTTAAAAATAGACAAGAAATGTTCCATAAACAAAAATAAAGTGTTTTTGATTATATCCGTGTAAAGCACAATATTGCCAAATTGTATATTAATTGATATTATACAGATTTAACTAATTCTTCAAAAATAGAGAAATTTGGAGTACAATACGAGAGGTTTATATCGAAAAGATGACAGGTGAAGAAGAAAAACAAAAATGGGAAAGAATATAAATATCATAAAATAACACTGACTGCAGATGAATTTTTCTTATTTATAAAACACCTAAGTGGTTATTAGTACAAGGTGGGGGACATTATCTACTGTTTAAGCAAAAAAAAAACATGTAACACAGAATTAAACAAATATTTAAATACAACTTATGTCTCAAGGCCTATAAATCCTGGTAAATATTTTAAGAAATAACCTATATAACAGTATCTTTTATATGAGTTTCTGTTTAACTTTATTTATACTGGATTAAATTATTCTCAAATTGTAGAGCTAATAAAAATCCGATATAAAAAACATAAAAATAAGTATATAAAAGTTGCACTCGTAGCTTGTAGCATAAAAAACGGGTTATTTATTGAAATGTAAATTTAAAACGAAAAATAACATGATCATAATTCCGCCTACTTTAACCCTAGAAAGGTGGACTATCGTAAATTTGACGACGCTCCTCGGTTTTCGTCGCAGTTCGGGTGCAGTCGCGTAACCTCTGCCCATAACAAGGATCTAGGTACACCCCAGTAATATCTGCCCGAAAGCTTCGCGCAAGCGCAGTTTGGCAAATTATCACATAAACGTCATTGACACATAATAATAACATAACCTTTCTTTTTTGCTTCAAAGTTTATTTTTTTGTGAACTAATAGAATATGAATGTATCAAAGATATTCTTTGTAATATCTATGATTGTATAGAAAATTATTGTTACGTTAGTCAAGAAAGTAATGCAATGATAAAAGTTGTGTAACGACTATAGTCCAAATCACATTAATCCCGCGACCTAAAAATAGTGAAAAGCTTATCTTCAAATTTTGGGTCAAAATAAAAATCCATGGGAAAGTGTGCGGTTTCAGTCTGGTTAAATGGTGTTTGATAAGCGAATTGTAACATTTACAGGAATAAGTCTTTATACGAGCCAGATATCTGACTAAAGCTTTTTTGAGCGAGCTAGCAAGCACAATGAAAAGAACTAATTATTTTTTAAACTATCTAGAGAAAAAGCCACCTTTATTGACAATAGTTCAAATATGATGTGTTGTGTTTATAGTGAGAAAAATTGTGATTTGCCAATATTCCTGTTTAAAACTTGTGGGTATATTGATTTGATGTGCTAATGTAGTATTTAAAAAGTACCAAGGTGTTTGATTCTAGCCTTTCAAGTGTATGTGCCAGTTTGTTTTGTATCAATACTAAAAAAATATGTAAAATACATAATGTTCATTAAATTTATTTGACTTATTTTTGTTTTGATTGGGGATACAATATGGGGCCATTTTTTAACTTCGAATTGTATTTTCGGTTGCTGATTATATACTTCATTGAAATTAAATTAAAAGTTTAATTCAACAAAGAAAATAAATATATATTTACCTATTACAGCAGAAAGAGCATATTGTGGTAGTACAAATAATAAATAAGGTCCCTACTATGCAGGCAAATACAGAAATTCACTTATATAAAATAAAAAATTTCTATTTCTTTTTTAACACATTCATTGAGTCTTTTTATGCAGTAAGTGTCTACATATGCAGTTGTGTCCGTGAATGTGTTAAAAAATTAAATTTATACTATCTAAAACTTTTGTTTAAGGGAAATAAAAACACACTTTAGACTCTTTAAAATTTTATTAAAACAGATATGTACAAATTTATCCATTTCCACACCACAGTATTCTTTTGAGAACTGCTGTAGGATAAATGGCGCGTTAACTTATTTATTATAGTGGGAAGTTTTGCCAGTAGCCTTATTATACCCACTTATTTTAAAAAGAATAGCGCTATAGATCACAAAAATGATGTATATATAATATAATATATATATATATATCTATATAATAATATATATATATATATATATATATATATAGGCATCCATAATTATACCTATATAATGTCAATTTGGGTGAATTAATTGCATTGCTAAAGTATCAATTTCATCAACTGATGGTACTGAAAGAATTTTCTTCTTTTTTGGAATTTTCTTAGTTTTAAATAATCGTCTCTGGGGCTCTATATTTTTATTACCTGGAGTAATCATTGGAAGTGGGAATGATTTGCGCTGAGCTTGATTATTTCGAATTGCCTCTAAAGTTGGTTGTATAGGAGCAACTATTGTTTTAATGGCCTCAATTTCCTCCAGTGTTTGTGTGTTAAAAATAAGTTCCTGAATAGTTTGGGCAAGTTTTCTTTGTTCTTCAAAAACAACTTGTGATTCACTTTTATTGGTGCTCAGTGCCATAACAAGGTTTGTAGTTTCTTCTGATTTGTCAACTTCATTTACATCAATGATCATTTTATCTAAAAAGTGTCCTTACTATGTTACATGAATATGAGATTAGTAGATAATGAGATAAGTACAAAAAAATTACAAAAAAAAATAAGTTTGATTCTGCACTAGTGTAAAAAAATATAAAATTGTAAGTTTACCCACCTGATAAAACTTCTTTGACTTCTTTGCAAATACTTGTTGGGTTTTGCTGTATAAACTTGCATACTAAGTGAATATGTTTACACATATTCCACTTAATGCTGCAGTCTACACATGTACATGTATAACGGTGAATACACACACCACATTCACTACATTCAAGCTTACATGTACATTCTGACTGTAACTCTTCCACAACATAAATTTCATTACTTGAAGCTGATGGCACTATCCAACCAACATCTATGGCGTCAACTTTACTTATATCCAACGTTTCACTTGTTTTATGTCTTTGCCTTAATTCAGATAATTTAGTGCACACTTTCCCTTTATGAACTACAATAAGTCTTTGGAAAATTTTGTCTCGCACAAACTTTAATATGGCACTGATGGCTTTGTCTAATCTTTTAACATACTTTCCATTAAGATATATGTGTTTAATTGTCCTATGCATCCTCTCTATATGCATATTAGTATTAAGACCACTATAGAGTCTAAAGCAATATGCCCAATGTTCTGCTTTATTAACATAATGTTGTTGAAAATAGTCAGCAAATTCTAGAGATTCTGGGCTTCCTTGGCAAAAGTCCAAAAATTTTTGCATCAATGTATTAAAAGTGGCTATATCTCTTTCTTGTAACAACATTCTAAGCATTTGGTAAATGAGAATCTAAAAAATACATGTTTTAAGTCATATTTAAACACATTTAAGTATCTTTACCTTTTTTTCCTTATTAAGGACTTTTTGTAAATTTTTTCGCCAAGCCCTATCTACATGCCAGGAGCAATAAAGTCTAAAAGTAATATTAAAAACTTAATAAAAATTCTAAAACTGCAAATTACTTAAGTATACCTAAATTCAGCAGGGTGCATCACTTGTAACCAAGCATTATAATAGGCTTCAGCCATATCTGACATGAAGACTCGAGGCTTAATTTTTTTCCCAATTTGTTCTTCAACACATGAAAAAAAAGATTTTCATTATTTCAGCATCATTCCTATTAGAAATTAGAAATGCACTTGGATAGCCTTCTCTAAGATTATCAAGTACAAGTATTGTATGGAGCTCAAATCCATATCCATTTAGCCCATGGGTTCCATCAATACAAATACAATCATCACCAAACCTTAAAAAATAAATTATAAAGATGTAGGTAGAAGTACAGTTTACAAATATGTCAAGATACTAAAAAAAACAAACCTTAATAATAATTCCCTTTGTCCTTCAGTCATTATCATTAGCAAAAAATCTTCTTGCTTCAGTTGAGGGTACTCATTGGATAAACATTCTTGTGGCTTATAAAATAGAATAGATCCACTAACTTGAAGCTCATTTACCCAAGCATCAACGCTAATGGCATCATTTGCATGACGAATAGCAGATCTGTTTAGGTTAAATGCTTTTTCAATATTGTACAGGTCTTTGTTTGTAAGTAAATGGGTTCGCTCCAGTTGACAGTTAGTAACTGAATCCCTTACTTCGTCTAATATAGACTGCAATGGTATTTTTGCAGCTATTTTGGATGCAATATTTTGACGATCTGATGTTGACAGAAAAAGATGCCCCATATCTTCTTGTAATTTATGTCCAACATGAGTATTACAAAATTGTACTGTACATTTAGTAGCTTCAACTGTTACACACATTTCAGCAGGACAATACCCATTCATTTTGTTACTTCCTTGTGTTTTAAGAGATCTAATATTTTCCCCCCTCGTTCTAATATTTCCTGATCTATGACATGTATATTTTATTTTTTTGCAGTTTAGACTCTTCTTAAAACCATGCATATTTACAAATGAGGAGTAAGTTTGCTTTTCAGTGGTCATTTTCCACCCCTGAAATTCCTCAAAAGTTTGAAATTCAAGTGTTGTACTAGCAACCGTCAAGGAATGCTCTGTTTGATAATGAGTAATCAGATATTTTGAGGATGGTCCTGTAAATTGACACAGTGGACACTTTAGTTCCTTTTTTATTACTGCATGCTGTGATCTTTGATGCATAGTTAATTTTTTTAACATGTCAAACTCAGCATTACATTGTTTGCAATTAAATTTTTTCTTAGGAACTAAGTCTTGAAATTTCTCTAAAAATTAAACAAAATAAGTAAGTAAGTAGGACATATAGATAATAAGGTAGTTTATGGCCTGACAGGCAACCTTTACAGATCTATTGGGAACTGTTTAGCTTGTCTCTGTCTTGGCATATTTCTCCACCACTCAAGAGACTTTTAATTA